CGTTGCATTCAACACTTGTCATCACATGGGTGTGGCATGGGACTAACAGTGGTGTCATAGAAGCATTGCTCTGACATGAGTCTACTGTCATGCTGCTGTACCTACTAAACAGCCCTTCTGTGACTTCAGACGACTGAAGTGTTTTGTTCAATAAATCTGTGCATCCTCTGAGAGATTCTGGTCCATGTGTGTCGTCTGTAAACATTTCCATTCCTCATCATGTCCACCAAAAAGGACTGAGTTAGTAATTGAAAGTGTTCACTGGTTCATTCACTTTTTGAAATGAAAGCAGCATTTTTTTTTTCTGGCGACAGTTGAATTGTGGGCCGTAAAACCCAAACACCACTCTGAAAGATATGAAGCTCGTACAGCTGAGGATAACTGCATAGTCGGGACATTATCAGCTGTGGCTTCCTGTGATTATGACAATCTGTGTCTTATCACATTGGCTCCTCTCCTTATACACCAACAATTTCACAGCCCAAGACAATTCAGTCACCATCCTTAAGTATGCTGATGATTTTTTCCACGTGTATATATATATATATTTTTTTTTTTTTTTGCTGGCGGAAAAAGTAAAAAAACAAACAAAACAAAACATTGACCTATTTTTTTTTTTGCTTGTGTAAATGGACTTGCATAATGGCGCCCAGTGTTGCCAACTTGGCGACCTTCTCACTAAATCTGGCGCCTTTCCAAATCCTCGTGGCGATTTATTTGCAGTTACTGTCCTCAACGAGCAGTGGGTGCTGCCGTGAGCCCCTCCGCCGTCCCAAAGCACTCACAGGCGGGCAGTCTCACAGTAGTCTCACACAGTAGTTTCAGCGACAGCCAGAGAGAAGAGGCGACGCACTCTCCGCGTCCAAACTGCAAATGAATCGCGCATGCGCTAAGCGGCAGCTGATGCTGCCCATGTTTGCAGAGCGGTTTGTAGATATAAATGTCTTATTAATGAGATGGTTAATGGTTATACGGACTGACAATCCCTCTGTTATGACGGGGATTAACAATGGGGTCCATAAGAAGTGATGGAAAAAGAGCCAACAGAAGAAAGTTCATTTGTAGTTCTAAACATATTTGAGGTGTTTTTTACTCACTTTTTGAAATTATGGAAATTTGGTAATGACGTCATTTAGCAACTTTTAGGACAGCCAATAGCTGCTTTACTTACTGAGGAGGTGGCGACACAGGTGACGCCGTCTTTTGTTCAGATTTTAAGTTCCGTTTTTGGAGAAATGGTACCGAACTAACCTTCAGTAGATAAAACCCAGCACAGTTCTAGACTCATCAGAACCAGAGCAGGTAAAGACATGGACCTTGGTGAGTATCACTGTTCTTTGACAATACTGATATATTTCTTTGAAAGTACTGATAGTTTTTTGATATAGGCTTGTCTTATTAAAAAATAAGTAATGATAGTAACCACAGCAAATATCTTTGAATAAACCAGATGAACTGTGAATGTTGATTTCGATGTTTATCCTGCATTTCAGGGACTGCTGCGTATATAGTTGGAGGTAAGACTTTGTACAGCCTTCATGGATCACATGTGTTTACTTTTTAAACTGGTGCTTTTTAAACAGACTTTAATGTAAAGTGCCATTTACTCAATTGATATCATTCATGATCCATGTTAAAGTAGCCTGACAAATTAGACCATGAACAACAACGTTCTCTCTGCTGTGTGGTCCAGGTGCAGTAGGTGCTGTGGTCGCGGCTCCTGTTGTTCTGGGAGCAGCAGGTTTCACCTCCGCTGGGATCGCAGCAGCCTCCATTGGTGCTAGTATGATGTCGACTGCTGCAGTTGCTAACGGAGGAGGAGTGGTAGCAGGCGGTCTGGTGGCTGGTTTGCAGGCAGCAGGTAAACAAACATTCTTTAATTTTAAAAATATTGAAATTTTGTGGTTTTTAAAAAAAAATCTTAATGATTTGATCATTGCTGGGATGATAATCACAGGGGCATTATGTTCCCTTTTATATCTTTCTGAAGTATCACAAAATGCTACACAGGTGTTTGCAAACCTGGAACTGAAAGAAACAATCATTTCAGAAAGATATTAGTAGCTCTTGGTTTTCAATACAGTGTTTTTACAATATAATGACACCACTGTGTGTAATAATGCTACTGTTATTTAGTCCTTTAGTTTGAGAACAAGACTTTGTCAGCTTCTCTGTAGCTCCATATTCTGATATGAATTGTGTTCTCCTGCTGCAGGTGCAGCTGGTCTGTCTGGAGCTGCCACTGCAGCTGTGGCAGCCACCGGAGCAGTCATCGGAGCAGCAGTGGAATCGCTGACTGGCTGAGAATCATGAAGGAACAAGACGCAGTTACAATACTTTTACTTTTGCCAAATGAAGGAGGCAATAGCAAATTACATCAGTATATTACCTAAAGAACACTTTTGTCATCTCAGACAACTGATTTGTTTTGTTCAATAAATCATTGTAACCTGTGAAACATACTGGTTCAGTCTTTTGTTTGTAAATGTTTCAATTCCTCATAATCACCAGAAGCAGGTTTCCTGCTTCTCTCTTATAGATTTCCCACCGTATCAAACAGCTGTTTGTATTTTATACCTTGAAAACAATTTAACAAAACCTAAAACAATAAAATCTTACTTGACATGACAACTTGCCAACAATAATATCAACAACCTGTTACTATGAGAACAGGTTTCTGTACTAAATAACATTCAAACTCATGTTGAGCTCTGGGATGTCTTGATATGCTCCAACACTAAACCATCCAGCATGCTCCACATGCACAGGCTTTCATCTGGAGCTAAACATGGATGCAACTATGTCTGTCTGTGTGTGACGGTGATGTGAGAATCAACACAAGAATGAGGCTGGAGAGTCATTTTCAGGCCTTTTCTCATTGCACATTGTCATTCAACACTTGTTTTGTCTCCTCACTGGAATGTGAGTCGTCACATGTCAATCATGCCAACATGCTGATGTTCAGCAGGTATAATGTTAACTATGTTCACCATTGTAGTTAAGCATGATTAAACACACTAAACACAAACAGCTGAGTCTGATGGGAATGTCATTAGTTTAGCAGAGCAGCACGTTTCTTAGCTCCATCCAGTCTGAGATTGCCAAGTACCAGCTCCTTATTGAAGAGGAAAATCAGAAACTTAAAAGATATAGAACCAAAATATTGAGCAATACACTTAAATCAAATATTAACTCAGACCACATCAACAAAACACCAGCAGAGACTTTTCCCCCGTGAAACACAGAATCCTCCTACAGTTGTATACAGACACGTATTTCCACTATATCTGTAACAGCTTGATGCTCATCACTGGATATGTTTCTGTAAAACAAAAATGAGCTTTTCATTTTCACCCAAACACGACATGAAGGGACCTGAGGAAGCTTTGCTGCAGGTGATAACGTTCACATAGGAGGGAAATACCACCCTCCACTGATAAAGGTTCAGTATTACATCAAACTGTTTTCACACAGTTAAGAGTCATCCATCATGTATTTAAGATATGCCTTCACTCAAACAGCAGATTTCACTGAATTATCCCTTTTTTATTGCAATTAACTGTTGGTATACATGAATATAGATGAATACGTTTTAACCCTTAAAGCAGGCTTTACATGCTGGAATAACACTATTATGATCTCTTAAGTATAAATACTTCACATTGTACTTTATTTACTTTGACCTTGATAAAAGCCACCACGACCTCCAGAGCCAAAACATTATTTTCTATCGTGGCTTAAAGATGAAAGTTTGTCCTGAATGCAGGTTTGAAGGAGCAGTCACAACTGAACTGGTTTAGCAACTCTTCAGTGTTTGTCTTTAGTCTTTGTTGTTATGTTCTAAATATAGTGATGACCTACCACCTCAGGAATTTAAATACTTGTGTTTATGTGGGTGGAATGGACTCTGTGAAGCTCTCTTTTGATCAGACTTGAAGTTTAATTTTTGAATAAATGGTACGTATAAATTGATGAAGTGGTACCTAACTAACCTTCAGTATATAAAACCCAGCACAGTTCTAGACTCATCAGAATCTCTGTGACGCCCCCTTCTGTTCAGATTCGCCCAGTTTCATTTCATGAGAAATGATACTCACCCTCAGTATATAAAGCCCACCGCCCAAGCTCATCAGTAGCTACTACTACAGCAAGAGATGGGACTATGTGAGTATCACTGTTCCTTTCACAATACTGATTTACTTTCACTTATATGCTTTTATTACAGAACCACAGCAAATGTTGATTTCGGTTTTCATCTTATCTTTCAGTGACGTTTGTTGCACTCGGAGGAGGAGCAGGTATGACTTTGTACAGACTTTCTGGATCAACCGTTTTTACTTTTCCAACTGATTCTAACAGGTTTATTGTAACAAAAAAAAGAAGACAAAAAAAACATTTACACGCAAAAATGAAATCATGCATCATCCATTTTAAAGTGGCCTGAGAAAGTAGCACACTATAATTAACAACAAAGGTCCCTCTGCTGTGTTGTTCATGTGCAGCGGTTGGTGTGGTCGGAGCTCCTTTTGTTCTGGGAGCCATAGGTTTCACCTCCGCTGGGATCGCAGCAGGATCCTATGCTGCCGGCATGATGTCAGCTGCTGCAGTGGCTAACGGAGGCGCAGTGGCAGCAGGGAGCACAGTGGCTGTTTTGCAGGCATTTGGTAAACATCGTTACTTGATTTTAAAAAATGTATTTGAATCTTGTGGTTTTAACTGTTGTATCTTAATGGTCATTTCGCATTGTTGTTTTTTTAGCTTTGGGCTAAGTGTTAGGTAGAATTTAATGACACGGCTGTGTAGTCTATAATAAGGTTGGTGTTTTTAGCTTGAGGACAAGACTCGGCTTCTCTGTAGCTCCATGTCCTGATGTAAAACGTATACTCGTGCTGTAGGTGCAGCTGGTCTGTCAGGAGCTGCCACTACAATGGTAGCCAGCGCTGGAGCAGGCCTCGGAGGAACTCTGCTAGGACTGGCTGCACTTATCTGAAAATCATGAAGGACACATTTTTTTTTACAACTTTTGCCAATTAGGAATGCAATTGTAAATTACACCAGTTAATTTCCTAATCAGCATTTTTGTCATCTCAGGAAACTGAAATGTTATAATAAATCTGGCTGTTAAAGATACTGGTTCAGTGTGTCTTCTGTAAATAATTACATTCCTCAAAAGGTACTGGGTGAGTAAATTATTAACTTGTGGGCCGTAAAACCAAAACACTGAGCTGAAAGATGCAATAAATCTCGTACAGCTGTGAGGAAGGAGATTATCAGCTGTTGTATTATAACTGTGATTGACACCTTTTCCTTCACACACAGTCACCTCAACCATTGTTATAGTAACATTGAATGCTGCTTTGCGGTAACAGGCTTTTCAAATTGAAGCTAAAAATGAATGCAACGATGGTGGCGTCTTTCTATGATGGTGATGGGTGAGTC